AACGTGCCCGATCACCACTCAACGCGGCAACCACACCCCCAACAGATGGACAACCCAAAGACAACAGCAGATCTACTCCTCAAACCTCCTCGACGCCCTCCGCCGGGCTTCCCGTGCCAACTCATTACCTCCGCCGTCCCAGAGGTCCTCCGCCGGGAGCAGGGGAATCCGCGAGGTCGCTGACCGCGTGCTCGCCACCTCTGCTCGGGGAACGACTCGGTGGAGTCGAGCGATCCTCGCGAGTCGACTCAGGGCTAGACTGAGGAAGCACAAGAGAGCGAAGGTCCCCGACGGCGGCAAATTAAGGAAACTGGAGTCGGGGAGGGCGAAACCGCGACGGCCGCCGGCCGTGGATGATAGAGTGCGTGTTCTGAGCCGGTTGGTTCCCGGCTGCAGGAAACTGCCATTTTCCAACCTTCTGGAGGAAGCGACCGATTACATAGCCGCTCTGGAGATGCAAGTTCGAGCCATGACCGCTCTCACCGAAATCCTCACCGGCTCGCCGCCGACTCCAGTTTAAACTTGGACTCGTCCAGTTGAGTCCCAAGTCAACCCCGAGCCGAATCGCGCCAGGTGTTGTTATTACCTTCTTACTTATTTTGTATTTTATTGTACACATTTTTTTTTTTTTGGAGCTTTTTTATATATTTTAATATTCATTATTTAATTTTAAATTTACGTTTTTAATTTTATTTTTTGCTCGATAGATAATTTAATTTTATTAGAGAGAATATGCCGGTAAGAAACCAAATTTTTAATTAATAATTTAAACTAAAGGGATTGATTATTGGTTAAATAAAATGAAATCAACCAACACATTTGGTATGTAAACAGGGTTGGTGAATGGGCACCGCCGGCGGGCGGGGGGGGGGGGGGGGGGGCTCCCAACATGTGCGCGGACGGGCCTACGGTTTGAAGGGCACCGACCTGCTCGCCCCCACGTCCTGAATGGCGTGCATGTGATTTTTGAACTGTTGTGTGCCAAAAGAAAACAAGACTCGACTATTCAAATTTGGACCACATTTTTTTTTATTATTATTATTAATGCACTCCATAATACAAACACCCAATCCCTCGTCACATGCGTCCATGTGCCTCCAACTAACCTCATTCCACTCTGTGTAACATTTTTTTTTTTAAATAATTTTATTTCACATTTCCCACTAATCAATTATGTAATTCCTTTGTTTTTTTTTTTTATTTTAAAGAAGTAAATATAACCCGAGTAAAAAAATATTATATTACAAATAAATATATAATTATTCGTGCCCTATAAAAAAAAAAAAAAAAAAAAAAAAACTATTATCATATTCTATGCGTGCGTGTAGAAAAACACTACAAGGGTGTGTTTTTGTTTTTTGTTTGGTTAGGGGTGGGTGTGACAGGATGCGCGCACCCAACATTTCTAATGTTGTGTCAATTAATGGGGTACGGTGGAATTTCCAAAACTTTAAAAACATTCAAATTTTTTTGGTCCACCGAGTTGGTTTGTTGGCTGTGTCTGTACACATAAACCATGCCTTTACATGTGTGTATACGTATATGAGTTTGTTATATATATATATATATATATATATATAAACATTAGATACTTCACGAACACAAGATTCTGTAAATATAATTATTCGTTTAAGAAAATTTGTATAAAATATAATAGTTAATTCATTTGGATTTCTCGGGAAATACTGAATTATGTATCTATATATATATATATATATATAGATATGTAATGTGGAATTTAGGTGAGAATTGGGTAAATGAGATTAGAAGCAAGCCGACCCCACCGCATGACAAACAAACCCTGAAAACTACTAAAACACAAGAATAAATCTTGGCTACCTTCAATGTCTTTTGTTGATGTGATTTATATACATATATATATGTCCTATATAAACATATATATATATATATATTATATTATATATATTGCGAAGTAAGAAAATTAAAAATTGATTCAGATGTACCCAAGATTACAAAAATGGGAATATATTTGACAAGGGATTCACATGCCACCAAAAGCAAATCATTTAGATGACATCTAAACACTGTGGTAGCTAAAGATAATTTATTAATTTAGTTTATTTTCATCTCATGCTTATAGTTTTTTTTTTTTTTTAAAAAAAATTAGGGTGTGCATATTTACACATACATATATATATATATATATGTATATGGCGATTGTGATTGATAAGCTAATATTTGTCTACCTGCATTTTTCACATGGTTCATATGTTCTGCAGTCTTTAATAATTAAGTACAGTAAAAATCATGTTTAATGTCTTAATGGCATGATCATGTGTGTGTATGTATGTATGCAGGGTTTCATTTAGTAACTGTATAAATAATACCCCACATGGATGTATGTTATAAATCCTACATAAATGGGCAATTTCACATTGGTATGGCTGTGAGTTTTTAAATTGTAATGGCAAAGCTAGAGTATTAAAATCCCCCACCAATACCCACTGTCAAATTGAATTCCAGAATTAAATTTGGCATTCATTTTTATTGTCATACATACATACATATCATACATACATACATACATACATACATACCTCTTCAGTAACCATTTCTTGTCTCTCTGGATTCCTAACCTGCACACGAACAAAATTAATCAATGCAATCAGCTCCCATGTCTTCTGCTTCACTTTCAAAAACCACGAATGCAGAGTTATTGTTATGGAATTTACAATACGAATAAAAACTGGTTTAGTTATATATAAACTGACTAAATTTTATACACTGAATAAAAAGTTTAATAATTTAAAATTTTATTGATAAGATATTTGGTAGGAAAATGGAATAATAATGAAAGTGTAGGAAGCCAAAAAATTTCAGTTTCACGTGTATGTAATTTAGCATATTGATTTTCAGAAAGCATTGAAGATGATTAGGTAGGCAAAATTAAAATGTTGGTAGGGTTGAAATTCTTGTAAGGTTAATATATATATATATATATATATATATGTTGATGTGACAGTCCCTGGCAGCCATGTGAGACATGAAAGCTTTTGCAAAGCACAGTTTGTATATAATTACCTTTTTTTTTTTTTTTAAAAAAAAAAAGGAATGTATATGTATATAATAAGCTATCTTTTATGCGTTACATTGCTGCAAAATTATGATATGCATGTGTATGTATATACATGTGTGTGCAAACAAGTAAAGACATGCTAATTTGGCTCATATATAATTCATTCACATATAAACTTCCAAGGAGGGAGAGAGTAGACAAGTCAGGTGGGCAGAGAAATTTCACCATCTGCCTCTCTCTCTCTCTCTCTCTCTCTCTCTCTGACCTGTTAGGCTTCAACAGGTGTCGTGGCGTGCATAGCCACTTGTCACTTTCCTAGTGGTACCTGATTCTGACAGGCCGGTGCCATGTGGCACCAGTATGATACTTGCAGCCAATGTTCCATGATTGTATTTAACAATACCAGCATATTCTTTCAGCCAATTTAATTTCTTTCTTCAGAAAAAAAAAAAAAAGAAGAAATAATCAGTGTGGCAAATAGGGTTGGTGTCCCTAATAATTGAGGTGTGGTTTACCCTATATCATCACACGTGCGTTTCATTGAATGAGGACCCTCCTTGAATGTGCCATTTTGCCTGAGGGACATCCCCTTTCATCTATAGGACTTGCCCTCATCACAGCCATAACTATCTCTCTCTTTTCATTCATACTGCTCACCACATGTAGTTTAATTTTCTTACTAAAAAGAAATACTACTAGAAAATCATAACATAACTCCCCATCAAGATGGAAAGACTCAATTCCAGATTGTTGTTCAATTCCTTTCTAAAGCCGCTAAAGAAACTATCGAGAAAACACCAGACGATCTAACCCCAAAGTAAAAACCAACACCAATCTATTTCATAGCAATGAGAGAGCCTCAAATTTGAATGCAAAGCTAAAGAAACACTCCACAAAACACCAACAGAGACGAGGATGATTGAATGCGATGCTCATAGACTACAGATTCTCTTTCTAGGTAGAAAACCCACAATAAGTTTTCATTTTTTTTAGATGCATGTAAAAAGGAGAGTGTAATTTTGGTTGTTTAAACAATTGGCAGATATCTAATTCCAACTCCGCAATAATAATAGGACCCAGGTAATCCAGCTGCTTTGCTTCAGTTCGTGAGGTAGCCACAGTTCCTCATATACAAAATAATATGGCATTATTTTCATACCCATGGCAGCTTCAAAAAGATGCCTGTAACTTTAAAGAAATTCTTGGCTGCACAACAAACATACTCTGGCAACATGGGAAATCAAGCCTTCCTAAGCTTAGAAAGCATTATGAGTCTAAATGCAAAAGGGATTGACGTCTGAATTGGGTTAAGCCTGTACTACCATCTTGACGTTCCACAAATAACTTCAAACAACAGAGCAACAGTCGGGGAAAGCCCCTATGTGGCTTCCCCCTACCAACAATATTTGGCGGGTGAGGGTCTCTAATCCCAAGTTCTCTAACCTCATACAAATCTTTGGACGAAAAAGGGTAAAAGGAAACAAGTAGTTATTATATCCTCCAATAAACTGAACCGCTGAAAGGTCAGAATAAGAATTCAAGAGCACAAACACACAAATATCTGACGAAAATATTATCTGGGTTGGTGAAGGCAATCTACAGGCAAACCCTAACAACATCCTAGACCTCCATCGCATAAATTAGTTATATATATCTCTAACCATGCAAATATATATTTCATAGAGATCATTCACTTCACTGACGGATAATCTTGAAGTTGTAAGCATGTATGGGCATACGCAATCTATGAAAGAAGGCTGTCATGGACCAATATATAGAGTTTAAATAAGAGGTTGAAGTTCAATTAAATAAAGAATCTAAATTAGTATTAGATTTTTAAATAATAAATATAAAATCTTAATTAATATTAAATTTTTAAATGGTATATTGATTTCTTATTAATATTAAATTCTTAAATAATACAAGATTTTTAATATTTTAATAGAATATGTTTAATTAAATTTAGATTTCTAATTAGATTAAAATTGCTAAATAAAAATTATAATTTCTATATAATAGGATATATTTGCTATTAATAAAAACAAATCAGAATATTATTTTAAACTATAAAATTAGAACTTTTTCTAACGAGATCCAAAGTGGTCCTTTTAATATATTTTCACAAAATAGATCGTTTAAAAAATCGCAATAAGAAGAAGAAGCAGATTCTGGAACCGGAAATTTTAAAGAATCGCCCAGTAACAAGAATCTAATCTAGGAACATAACAAAGGCATATCAAGATAGTACCAAACAAGAATTAATTAAATTCTCAAGCAAATTTCCTTGGCACATATATCAACAAAAAAAATATGAACTTTTTCATTGATTTCCTAGGATGATAGAAGATTATAATATTACTTAGAAAGCACAACTCTGTGAATGTCACCTGTTTCCAGTACACCTATGCAGCAACATAATAGTTCTCAGGAGACCACACATGAGATAGGACTTAATCAGGCTTTCACAGAGTCAGCTCTAGGCCTCCAAAGTCCAAGCCTATATTTGTGGGTGTATTTCAATATAAGTTTCCTCTGCAAAATCGAAGCTAGAAGTTATAACAGGTAAAATATAAGGTCCGAAAGAATCACTAATCTAGATAACCACAAGATGGGAGGAAAATTTGTGCCCATAAGCTTGGCTACCAAATAATAAATCTGATTCCCCAAAGGAATCAGGGATACTTTAGAAAATTTTAATCCGTGCAGCTGATACCACATGAAGGAGAACATAGTTAAAAGTCAAAATACATATAAGACCAATTAATCCTGTACAATCTGCTCTAGGATTTCGCCGTTTCGAGAGAATTAGCTACTGCATCAGCAAGTCTAATCATCCTAGACTTGCACGATATAGTATAAGTTTTCCCCATGCTAAATATAATTAATTTCTCTAATGTATCAGAAAGTAGAACATGAGGTACAGGCAGGAAACTTCCATTACAACCTACAGGCTTAAAGAAGCAACCAGTTTACCCACCCATTTGGAAATCAAAATTCAACCATATCCATTAGAATAAACTGGGGAAGTTCACTTCTTTCTTGATTATTAGGGATCCAATCAACATGAGCAGCATAACCATTTAAATCATTTGCTTTTCCCACCATTGTAAGTGTGAACTAATTTTATAGCAACCAACATGCAATGAAGAATTGACAATATTAATTTTAGGTAGCCAAGTAATTCGGTGAGTAAACGTGAAAAATGTTAAAAGACTAGGACACAAAATGGGAGCACTATCAGGTCAAATGCAACACTTGTAAGCACTATGGCAGAGTTATTTGTAAAACACTTCCAGAATTAGGACGAACAAACTGCCAATAACAAACATCTTTGAGGTACTTTCAAGGAAGGGCAGGAAAGAATGGTTAGATACAAGTAGCAACCATGAACTCATTGATATATATAATCACATGCACACATAGATAATGAAAGATTCTACTTTGAAGAAAGGGAAACAGTTACATGTTTGCAAGGGATGCCCAGTTTCTTGAGCTTAAGAGTCCGAGTGACGAGCAGTTTCTGAAGGTCACCGATCTCAGATTCAAGCTTGGGCACAAGGGTTTCAACCCCTTTCCCTGTTCCACTAAAAAACTCTGGAATTCCTACTTTCACTGCAACAGTGGGAACTATCAATGCCTCAGTATCCAGATTAGAAAAATTATGAATCTCTTGTAGTTACTAAGCGAAGGTACCAAAAACGTGAGAGCAGCATCCATGAAACTATCATTTTGGGAAAAGAGAGCAAAGCCTCAATCAAGGAATGAGCAATGTAAGAAATTTAGCGGACTAATTCAGCATTTTCGCATTAAAAACAAAAATCGACAGATAAAAAAAGACTACAACTTCTTTCCAGGCTTTTATTGACCTTCTCAGCAACCCAAATAGAAACTAAAGCACAAATCACAAAACAAACTTACCTTCAGACTATAAACACCTAAACATACAAGTCAATATATGGAGTGGATTTGGAGTAGAATCTAGACAACAAAGGAGAAGAATTCGGTTGCATTATTGTCTTCCTAGCTTGGCGTATGATTTGCCTCCACGCCATTGTCGCTCTGAAAAACAATCGCCCGTGAAATTTGAACTCTGTTTGGAAGAACGGAGGAGGAGAGCATAGATGGGAGTGGATGGTAAGAGTTAAACTACACTGTTTCACCAATCGTGTTTTCCAAGCTCAACCATATATTACTACTAAAGCAAACAGTAGTTTAGTTTTTACCACAACATGTTAATTTGTATTTCAAAAATTAAGAAGTCATAATCAACTTTTTTTTTTTTGCTCTTCAAAAAAGACAACACTCTATTCCTGTCATCACTACATGGAGATCAAATAAATGGATACAAGAGATCATTACATAGAAAAGTGAAAGAGCAATTCCAGAATTCGCAGCGAACCTCGTCCCGTTCCCATCCCTCAACTGTTCTAATCTTAGCCGGCAGCATTGATTTCTCCGCCGCAACTCAGATTACGATAACCCTGCCAGAATGACCTCACCGTCCTTCCACATTTGCGCACGCGCGTACGTAGAGACACGAAAACGCACTATCTACGCACAGCGTATAATCTGCAAATGTATGGATACAAACAATACATTTTCAGACAGTGCAGCCGCAGAAGAGGAAGAAGAAACAGAGCATGGAGACGAGGGCCACGGACTCGAATGCCGTGACCACACGCCACATGACGTCGTCTACCACCATCGACAAGACGTTCGACTCTGGCCACCACCGTAAGTACCTTCCCGGATTCCACTCCGTGAATCCCGTTCGCGGGAGCCACCTCCACGCGAATCCCGATGTGTACGACATGAAAGCAGACGACCACCGGAGCGCCATTAGACTCAAACCTCCGTCCTCTCTCTCTCTACTAATTAGCCTGCTCTGAAAGAAGAAAGTGGTGGGGTTTTTATAGAGCGAGGATTTGGTCAGGTAGACCCGAGTGTAGCCGAACAGGATGAACCTACATTCTCGAAGTTGGTTTCAGGACCGTCGATTATTAATCGGCAGGCTTGTGATGGAGGGTTAGATGTTGAGTGTCAACTGTTTTAAGTAAGAAATTTAGCTGTTAACAGAGACAAAGTGGCAGTGGCAGATATGAGATGGTGGGGTGCGTAGTGTGCCACACGTGAAGAAGGCGGAAGTCTCGAAGTGATTGAGGGGTTATGTGGGACCAGAATGGACGGCTCTGATGAATTGTTGTCCATTTAAAACCATCAAGACAAAAATTAAATCTGAAATTTGAAAATGTTTGCCCGCTGGAGGGAAATCGTATTTTTATATTTTTTGAATTTTGAAAATAATTGTTTTGTCTTATTTAATAAAATTTTGTTTGGGAGAAATTTGATTAAAAAAAGCCAGCTTGTGACTAAATACTTAGAATTGAATTAAATGGTATAAAATTTCATAAGCTACTTAAAAATTACAGAATATATTATAAATTAATAATAGTAAATTACTTAAACTTTTTAATATATTGTTAGACCTAAGATAATCAAATTAGATGATATTTTTAAAATTTATTAAAAACGTAAATTCGATGACTTTATATAATATAAAAGTATTTATTTTTTAAATTCACGAAAAAAAAATTACCCAATTCATTTGCTTTTGTAATAAAAAAAAAGTATGACTGGTCAAAACATTAAACTGTAGAAGATTTGTCCTAAAATTGTAAGTTCAAACACTAACTTTTGGCAATCACAAACTCAAGTTTCTTCTGTGAAATACAGACCAAAACAACGGAGATCCAAATCATTAAGTCTTAAAGCAATTTAAGATTCTAGGAGGAAAAATCCAACTGACAAAGAGAAGCCTTGTGCCAGACCAAAAACCCTGACCCTTTGGCAAAAGATAAAATGTATACTTTTTCATGTGGGGAAGCAATGACACCTAAAAATATATAAAAAACCAAACTCACACATCTATCAGCTCATGCTTTTAGCCAAATCTGAAGCCACCAGGGGGGGCATTGGGCTGGTTGTTTCCAAAGTTGAATACCTGCTGGTTTTCGCTGGCACCATCTGGAAGATTCTGGTCTACCTCCTCTTCTTCAGCCCAGAATCTTTCCAAAATCTTCACAGCCTTCTCATAAATCTCATTATTATCATGGGTTTGCAAATTCTCAATCTTATCCAAACCATCGCATTCCTCAATCATTTGTGCATAGAGATTAACTCCACCATTCATTCCCATCTCTTTGTCAGCCTCACCAACCTTCAAAATGTTCTCCAAGCCCTCAAGGCACACTGTCACAATCCTTGGGTCAGGACAGACTAGAAGATCGCACAACGGTTTGATGCAACCTTGGCTAGTCAGGAATCTGCAACAACATGGATTCATGTCAATTCCAGCATTTACCCACAAGCGTTTGGAATAAGCTCATTGACACAATGAAGTTAAATGGCCACGGTTACCCATCAAGGCAATCCATGTATGGGCCTGCTGAAAATAGTTTTTATCCTGTCACCTCAACAACTAGCCATTTAATAGTCTTTCGTGAAATTCCAATCCAATGAGTAAAAATTTCAATCCGGAATTTGTGATGAATCTTATTGTTGATAAAGAAGGTGGCAAAGAAAAGGGCACTAAGCCTCACCAAATAAAAAAGACACCTGCCCAGATCAACATACAAATCTTCATATGCTAGTGCACGAACAAGCTTGATGGCATTGTTTTCCTAAAGACGCATATGTGGAGGGAAAAAAACGAAAAGCAGAATGGCAAAATAAAACAGAAGAGCAAAAACACATACTGAATCTGCTCATGAGTTCCTCCAGAGGTGGCATTTGAGACAGCCCATGCAGCTTCCTTCTTGATGTCAAACTCTGCATGTTGGAGAAGGTGTACAAGAGGAAGGATGATGTTGGCCTCAATAACAGCCTGTGTCACAGATATGTAGTCATTATCGTAAACCAACACTTCCAAGTTAAAATCAGCAAGATCTAAATCAATTTTGAGATTGCCTGTTTGCAAGATGCAAAATAGTAACGAATTCATCAGTACCACAAGAGATAAATCAGCTATTTACAGCTGGTACACTTTCAAAATTGTCCGCTTACCATTTCAAACACACTTCACGCTTGTCAGGAAATTAGTTCCCCTGTCAAGCGTCAGTATAATAAGCAACCAAGAACATGAATCTAAGCAGTTATCAGTTTTTTGAGGAAAAATAATTGAGCACAACACTTCCAGAGGAATCTATGTCAGTTGAAAGACTTCACTGTATCTAGTCTGCCACTTATTTCTTTGATCATATGACATCCATCAAACCAATACATCAAACAAGCAATTCTAGTATCATAAAACAGATAAGTGAAATGCCACTTGAACAGTTGGGACTCTATTTGAAGCAGCACATACATAAGCTCCAGCAAAAAAAAGAGGAAAGTAAACTTCCAAAAATACCTGTATCTGGGTTCTATTCCCCGCAGTGATATTTGAGATTGTCCAACAAGCTTCTTTCTTGATGCTTTTCTTGTAATTTTGTGTGAGCAGTTGATGGAGATATGGGAGCACTCCATTTTCAATTACAAACTGAAACACATTGACTAAGTCACTTAGCTGGGACCCAAATAATGAGAGAGAGAAGTACATAGATGTATATACCGTCAACTGAATAATATAGAAATTACAATGAAAGAAACCATGGTTCAATTCATTGAAACACAGTTGAACAAACAACTAGTTGGCCAAATAATAGGTTCAGGTACTTTTATGAGTTAACCATATCATAATGGGAAAAACTTGGGCCAATTTAAAGGTCGCTTCAACGCTACATTAACGAGAATCCGCACATGCAAGGTCAGCTACATGGTTATTGATGACAAACATGTTCCATTTTTGCCTTCAAATGGTCATGCAAAGCAACAGAAACATATTCCGAAAGGTATTTCATGTTTCATTAAAATAATACAATTATTAATTTGAAATTTTTGTCATCTGACCTGCAATGGTTGAAACAAGACTTCACTAAAATGAGTCAAAAGCAATTGAAAAAAATAAATTAAATAGATTCCCAATACAAAACACGAAATGATGATAGCCACCAATTAAGCAATTAACTAATACCTGAGTCTGAGCATCATCACCAGTAACAATGTTTCCAACAGTTCGGAGGGCAGGAATAAGAACCGTTGGGGAAGGATGACTTGCAGAAATAATTTTAGTCAGTTCACAGTACATTTAAGAAAATTAATAAATAACATAACACATGCACAAAGAGGGAAACTATAAAGGGAAGAGGAAGAAACAAATTTGCACATGTTCCAAATGGAGGCCATATCACAAAAGAAAATTATTTGCGGAAGGTCAGTTACATGCTTGAAAATTAGGTGAAGAGAAATAAGAATTTACCCTAGAAGCTCAACAAGTCGTGGACAGACACCTGCTTCAATTACAGCTTGAATTTTGTCATTCGGACCATCAGAAAGATAAGAAAGAGCCCAGCAAGCATCCGTTAGAACTTCTTCATCATTCAAGTGAATAAGTTGCTGGAGAATAGGCAATGCAGGCTTCACCTGGAGAACAGAAAAACAATTAATATTAGCAGAAAACTAATCAACTAACAGGCTTCACCAGGCTTCACATTTGACCAATCTATATGAAACACCCAATATTGCATCTTAAACTTTATTTTGTATGATTAAAACAAATCAACACAAACCATTCCACCTGCTCAAATGGTGTCGGTGGCTTGCCACGACAAAAGTTTGAAAGGGTCCATGTAGCATTCCTCAGCATCGATAGTTTTGAGCGTTCGTTCAACTGAGCTAATAATGGCATGAGAGCACCATGACCAAGAACAAGATCCCTACAACTGGGGGAATCACCAGCAACATTTCCTAAAGCCCATACCGCCTGAAAAGGGGAAAAAAAGAGGATGACAAAATATATCAAACAGGGAGTAAAAACCTCAATAAAACAAGCCAAAGAGCAGATTTATTAAGTACCAGGAGTAGTTTAAATAGGAATAATTAAAAAATAGTGGTTAAAAATAAACAAAAATAGTTGTATAAAATATTATAGCTTATGCTTATCCGCAGAATGTCAAGCTAGTAACTCGCTAAAGCTCAAAAATAACTCAAAAGAGAGTCATCATTTCTCAAATAAAAACTTAGAAACAAGTTAAAAAATGAGCGGCCAGTCATTCGTGAAATATAGAAAGGAGGTATGCAAATTGGTTTAATAATAAACCACCTGCTCTCTAACATCATCACTAGCAGAGCTAAGAAGCTGCACAAACATAGGAACAGCACCATGATCAATCACAACTCTTGTGTGCTCAGATGTTCCAGAAGCAACATTAGTCAATGCCCAAGCAGCTTCAAACTGCATTTGAAGGAAAATTTAATCGTTATTTCGAACAAGTTCTAACAACTCAAATTTCTCTTGTAAGGAAGTAGAGGAAATGTAATCCATACTTGTAGCTGGGGAAGATCATGCCTCCCAAGAAACTCCACAAACCTTGGAACAACACCAGCCTTAATTACTTCATCAATTGGAGGGCTGCGCTCTACAAATCATGCAGCCCAAAAATTAACTGATGTAAGAAGAGTTATAATCTTAAAGAAAAAGTATACACTATAGGAAGGAGAGAGACATTCGTACCAATGGATAATAGCTTTCTAAATTGAGTAGTAGCTTCTAACTGTAGTGGAGGATCATCAGACCACACTCCTTGCACCATCAGAGGAATACTTTCCAACTGTTAGACAACATGAATATGTAAACCATGAACTCTATAAATACTATCATATAGCACCACATATCAACAGATGTTATACAGAAAAATGAAAATTTAATGATTATAGAAATACATAGCAATGGTAGCTACCATTTCTTTTAAAATCTTCATGAGAAGACTGCTGTTTCTAAAAAGTGAGGGAAAATCAAATTTTTATCATTCATTTGCTATCAAAATAACAATTTCCTCGGAAAAAAAATAGAACTATTGTTTTATCAACCAAAGAGAACACAACCAACAACTGATCCACCAATGTCCATAGTTGTTTCAGAACTAAGGGGAGAGGGGAAATCAAGAAAAGAGGAAGGTATCTATTCAATTCAGAGCACCATTTTCGAGGATATTATGGGTCTTCCTCTGAATTACTAAACTTGAAATGAAAAGTAATCAACTATACCAAGTGGTCATCACATGATTGAGTGATTGCACTTTGGCAGTTGTTTCTCCAAGTTTCAACTCTGAAAAAACAATGAATCCAGTGCCTCTAACTCAGAATACCACTTCTCTTCATAAATGTCCGCAGCACCTAAACAACTAAAAAATTTCCGATAGGTTGATGCTCAAGAATAAAAAACACAGAAAGGTCAACAGAAGCACCGCTATCACTACCAGCAGCATTCTAGGAAGCATCAAGCAATTGCTTGAATAACAGCAAAATTCTTCTTCTCTTCTATAAGCATTGTTTGCTCTAATAAACTTCAATTAAAATGCATTGCCTTATCTAGCCCAAGTAATTAGAATAAACCTAATTTAAAGAATCCCAAAAAAAAATTTCAAATTTCAAATCTATTCCCATACACAAACAGAACCATTAACTAAGCAATAAATCAAAATTAAGGTTAACGGGTAAGCAGGCAGCATAACTACTCATTTTGATAAGCATAGAGCCAGCAGGGCGTCCTGTCCTCTCTTCGCCATAAATTCTTGAGATGCTAGAATAAACAAATTAGTCCTGTAGATATAAGATCTTCATGTATCACAGAATGAATACTCTAATGTCCAAAAGTTGACTAGCTACTAGCTTTACTTAGATTATTTCATATCGACCAAACAGAATCCAAAATAAGCACATTAACAATAAGTAAATATCAAGAGACAAAAAAAAAGGTAACAGGGCAGAATAAACATCCGTTTCCCAGTATTGACAACATGAACCTCTAAGCCCATCAGCAAGACTTATTATTCTCTAATCTGGGAAGATAACATATTTTTATTTACAGAACAATTAGATCAACTAAAATAAGAGCCCAAATAATTAAAACAATAAATTCCTACTTAATTTCTCGGGTTCTAACCATCGAGAAAACAACTAACAAACCAAGAACCACTATAGGAAGGGGAAAAATACCCTGTTGCCAATATCAAAGAGTATCGAGGGGCATCAAGCAACCCCTTTAAGCCTGAACGAAAAACATCAAGTTTCAACTGCTAATTCTAGTAAATTGGCATACAATAAGAAAAAATGAAGAATCGTCGAAACTTGAAGAAAACTGGGCGAGCATAACAAGCACGTAAGGTTAAGATCCAATGAAATTATAATTCCAACTTAAAATATATCACATTTAATCACCGCCAAACAAAGATCACTGGGTAAACAAAACCCAAAACCTAATATGCGGAGAGAAGAGAAAGGCGGTTTGTCTAAAACAAGTACCTTCTTATCAACAGCGGCAGCATTTTGGGAGGCATCGATAGGCTGCTGCTGAGACTGGAGCAAGAGTCCTTCTCTGCGCTTCTTAAGTAAATTGTCCTCGCGCTTATTCTTCCTGATCTCGACGAGATTGTCCTCTCTCCTCCTACGCGCCTCCTCCGCGTCCACACCAGTCTTGTAGGCCTTCTTCCTGACCTCTGTTCGCGTATTGGGACGCAGCGACATTCTCGCACTCTTTCTTCGAGCTCTTCTCCTTCGCTTCTATTCTTTAGCTCCCGGGGCTCTCTCTGTGCGCAGGGATCGAGCCTTTTGTTGCGTGTGTTTGTAGAAATGACACAGAGAGAGAGAAGAGAGATCGGGGGTATATGCAGCAATATGTATTTATAGTAGGGAGCAATTCAGATGTAGAAGTGGGTAGCATACCGAAGGCGGGTTTGGGCTTTTTGGATCAGCTCCCAAGTTTTTGAACTTGCGGTTCTCTGATCGGGTCGGGTCGGGCGGGCGGGGCGGGTTAAGAGTATGATATATTATTAAAAAGTAATATTTTTTCTTAGCATTTAATAATGAACCATAATTTCAGTTAATATTAATATATATATTTTTTTTATATTATGTTTTGATTAATTTTACAAATATTTTTAAATTCACTTAATTTACATCCGGGCCTTTAAAGCCTGTAACCTGTCTTGTGAAACCTAGCCACTGAAAGACGATGTCAGATGACGACCGCCAGAGAAACCAGGAGCAAGCGCGATACGGTGTCTTGCTGTACTACAGGTACGCATCAATCCCCGATCTTGACGACCTCCGTTCCTTCTACGAATCGAATTGCAACTCATTGAAGCTGCTTGGCCGAGTCCGACTCTCCCCTTACGGCGTCAACGTCACTGTAAGCTTTCATCCCTCCTCGTTTTCTTCACCTTATTCTCATTTGCTGTCTACGTAAATCGTTGGGAAATGCATTTTTCGTTATTCTTTGCTATTTCGTTATTGGTTGGATACTGTTGGGTTTGATCAGGTCGGTGGGAAGTTATCCTCACTGGAGGAGCACATGGCTGCAGTGAAGTTGAATCGCTTATTTGAAGGGACCGACTTCAAGCTTGCAACCTGTCATCACCCATTGAACGACAAGGTTGCCCAGGAATGTGGGTTCACTTCTCTGTCCATTCGAGTTGTCAAGGTTGTAGCAGTTGCTATCTTTTGACGAAACTTGATTGAGCCTCCTAAAACAAAATTAGTTGGTTTTATAGTTTATTTTTTTTTTTTTTTATGGATTTTGTCTTTTATTTGAGGGATTTTTATGGTCCACTTGAGGATTTTAAAATGATTGTGGAAATTACTTCTACTATTTCCTTGAATGTTCTGGAGAGTCTGATAAGGAAATGGCCATATGCTTGCAATCATAGAGCGAATTGCAAGCCTGAAAACCATGGATTAAAAAAAAAAAAAGCCAATTGTAACCGGCACCAAAACTACCATGGAAGTTTGCTTGCTCTCGGCATAAAACAATACTGTTGCTTGCTGAATTCCGCAACCATAAATCTATGTGGTATCTGGTCTAGTAAAGGGACATATTTTTCCGTTGTATGTAAAGTCTAGTTCTATGGTGGCATTTCCTATCTTACTCACGAGATAACACTGTCTATTATCAGGAGCTCGTTACTTTTAGCTCTCATCCTTTGCTAAAATCACCTGAAATTTCTATTGCGGGAAGGCATCTGTCTGCTGCTGAGTTTCATACTGTTCTTCAGAGTGCTGGTAAGAATATTTACCAGTAATAATGTTTTGTTCGCGACTTTCTTTTTCCTTACTGAGGCATGTTTGTTATGCTCATTACATTTGATTTTACCGAAATGTTTTCAACTTCAGAAATTATGTATGTTCTGGATTTGCTTTTTCCAGCTAATCTTTGATATTTTGCCATATAAGATGGTAATATGGGACTTGAAATAAGGTAGCCACTTATTCTGTTTATGGTTCTGAGGACACTTTCCAGCATTAGATGGTTCAACTGAAAGCGAGAGACTTGTTCTGTTGGATGCAAGGAACTTATATGAGACAAGAATTGGGAAGTTCCAAATGCCAAGTGTGGAAACGCTGGATCCGGGAATCCGGCAATACAGTGATCTGCCTTCCTGGATAGACAACAATACAGAGAGACTGCGAGGAAAACGTGTTCTTATGTACATACTTCTCCGAATCTTTATTTCTGTTCAACTTTTATTATCTAAATTATGTGTTCCAAAGTGCTTCTCAAAAGATTTGTTGCTGTTAATGTTTTATTATCAACTTCTTGTGAGTATATGTTTTCTTATCCATCTTTTCCTTTTTAACTGCTTTCTCATCTCACAGTTTCTATTTAATTGGTGCATCAAGAATAATTTTTAATTTTTTGGTTGAAAACATTGTCTGGTTCATTCAAAGCCAGGCTCAGATGTGCACATTCCATCTTGGCATTTTAGATCTAAACTTCAGCTTTCTGTACAGGTACTGTACTGGAGGAATCCGATGCGAGATGGCATCAGCTTATATTAGATCAAAAGGTGCTGGCTTTGAGAATGTGTTTCAAGTAAGCTCTTGATGCAACTTATGAAATTGTTAACTCATGCTTTGATATTTTGGCTCTGCTCAACCAAGCTTCCTGACGAGATTCACCTTTTATTAGAGTTAGAGATTTATGGTTCCGTACTCTGATAACCAAACGGAATTCATGAATAATATAGGGACTCGAGATTTAAGGATTCGGTGGTGATTCCTTCTTGTAGGGTCTCATGGGTTTTGTTAGTTGTTTGGGACACTAGATATGCTAATTGGATTGATACAATTGAGGGAGTGTTCTCTCTGTTGGTGTTGCTTGATGTGATAGGGAAAGAGAGGTTAATGTTTATAATGATCCGAATAATCCTTCTTCTGGGAGGAACTTTCCTATCTCTCAAGCTTGTGTAATCCGCTTTGGTGTATCATGGGAGATTCCAATACTTATAAGTCCTTTATGAGAGGTTCAGAGGTTCTAGAACTATCACTAACAGGAGGTATTTCTATGAGATTATTCATGATTGCAAGTTGCAGGGTCTTCCTCTTGTGAGCACCAAGTTTACATGGTTGGTTGATAGGGAGGAATTTTATTCCTTTGCGTTGATTGATTGTTGATCTCTGGTTGATGGAAAGATACATTTCCAATCTGGTGCAAGAGGTTCTCCTGCACCTTGTCTCAGACTATTTCCTGATGTCATTGATTCTCAGCATGTGAATTGGTGTCCTATGCCTTTTTATTCTGAAAATATGTGGAGGCAATACCCTGATGTTTCCTTCTCAAAAAAAAAAAGAGAAAGAAAGAAAGGAAAACACCCTGATTTCTCAAACAATCTAAAAGATTGGTGGCAGGAGGTTGTTGTATGGGGTTTGAAAGGAAATAAATTTATGAAAAATTTGGTGCTTTCTTGATGTAGCTTGTACCTTTTTCTTCTAAAAAATGGAGCTTCTAGCTGAGATAATTATAACGTCATTGCAATGTTGCCTTTGGTGCAGCTATTTGGCGGAATACAGAGATATTTGGAACAATATCCTGATGGGGGTTTCTTCAAAGGAAAGAACTTTGTTTTTGATCATCGGTACGTTCTGTTATTTTCTCAACACAAAACTTGTAGGATTTTTGCTTTTATTGTCATCTTCCAACCGGTTTTATGGGCCTGGTTAATTGACTTGAACTCCTGAAAAGGTCGACAACTCTTTCCTTAGGGGTACAAAAACAAGTTGTGCATCTGAAAGTATCTAGAATCCCCTTTTGCAATCAGAATGCTTTCTTGCTTCTTCTGATGATTGAATGAGAACCAGTAGCCGACTGGCAACTGTGGAATGGCATGAATGCTTTTCCAAATTTGGATGAAATAAGTACTGCAGTTTTGTTTATTTGTTGTAGGATTTCAGTTGGTAGCTCGGATGCAAAAATTATGGGCACCTGCCATCTTTGCCACTCATCTTTTGATGACTATTCTTCGCGTTGCCGATGCAGTCACTGTAGAATGCTTGTTTTGGTCTGTGACAGTTGTCGGGTATGCACTTGAACTATCTTGAACATCAATTATATTCTGTATCTCGTTTGTATTGATTCTGGACTTTATTACCGTGAACCTGCAGATAGAAGGAGCTGCTTATGTTTGCGAGTTATGCCAGAAGCATGGTAACGGCTTAGGACTACAAGCATCCATTGAACTTAGTAAATCCCAAGTAACATCCCCAGAAACTGAGGTTGCAAGTGATCCCTATGATCCTGAATTCTTACTTCATCTTTCTAGGGGGCATGGTAAGGTCGGTAATCTGTGTCATTGATCAACTTTACTTCCCTGAATAATTAAGTAATATACTGATTTCTTTTGGAGATAAAAAGGAAGCATCATTTGGAGGCACCAAGTAGATAATCATAATTATGCTGAGTCTTCTCCAGTAGTAGTAGTGGCTGATTCCATTATTTTTTTATATTTTTCTTTCATTATTCTTATGGTTTTTTTAAGAACAAATCATTTTAATCACAAGGAACCAAGAATTAGTGTATTCTTAACCCAAAAAGTAAGAGTATTAAATTTTATTTGTTACTGTTTTCTATAAAATACTTCTTTGAATGTCGAATTCTGTGTATTGCTACTGTTGTGAATGCTTGAAAGTTGGCATGAGTTTACAATTTTCTTTTCGTGCTCCCATAACTTGGTTATAAATTATGCTCTGCAGACTGTGGTCCTCGTAAGAAACTAAGAATCTTGTGCTTGCATGGATTTCGTCAGAACTCCTCTAGCTTTAAAGGAAGAACTGCATCATTAGCGAAGAAACTTAAAAACATTGCTGAACTTGTTTTTGTTGATGCACCCCATGAGTTATCATTTGTCTACCAACCTTGCGGTACACAGCCAGATACTAATTACTTATCAGCTCTATCACAATTCAGTCCTCCACCGCCACCTGGGAATTGCAAGAAGAAATTTGCATGGTTGGTAGCACCCAATTTTGATGGAAAGAATGGAGCTGATTGGAAAGTTGCTGATGGTCCATTTGATCCTCTCCAATATCAGGAGCAGACGGGTGGATTTGATGTGTCACTAGCATTTCTCAAGAAGGTATTCTCTCAAGAAGGGCCATTTGATGGAATCTTAGGATTCTCTCAGGGAGCAGCGATGGCTGCTATGGTTTGTGCGGAAAAGGAAAGGCTGAAGAGTGAAATAAATTTCAGATTTGCAATACTCTGCTCTGGATTTGCTCTTAAGTTATCAAGGTCAGAGCAAGGATCAATCAATTGCCCTTCTCTCCATATATTTGGCAGTGATCTGGGGAGGGACAGGCAGATTGCAAACCAGGCTAGCAGGGAGCTGGCTTCAATGTTTGAAGATGAGTGCTCGGTGATTATTGAACATGACTCTGGTCATATTATTCCCACTCGATCTCCGTACATTGATGAGATTAAGAGCTTTCTTCTGCGTTTTCTTTGAAGTGATTCAAAACTATTGCCGTGTTGTTGGGTCTGAAGATAAGATTCAATATACTTTTCACATGGATTGGAAGACAGATATATGGCAAGTCCATATCTGGCTGTGCGATCTATTTGTTAAGTTACAGTGACATGTTCTCTTCTTTTCTACTGACATTGAAGATGTCCATATCCAGGAGAGATTTTGACTTTCTTTGTACTTGGTTTAGACATTAGAGTAAGTATAACTAAAGAGTGTATAACTAGGGAAGGCAAAAAACCCGTAAACCATGAAAATTTTCCGGTCTTTGACAGACCGTTGCAGGTTTTAACTGAATTCGAAATAGACTTGGTTGGTTCAGGAAAGTTGCCAAACATTGGCGGGATAGATTCAGGTTTGCCTTTTAAAATTCTGCCAAATTAAAAATAAAATTTATACAGAATTTGAAAGTGTACAGAGAAACTCTGAAACTTATATACTCAACACATTCTCAACTAGAATCACTTTCCTCTTCATCTTTTGCCTCTTCCGTCGCAGCTACCTTCCTCTCCATCGCAGCCCGACACATTCTCCATCTGAAGCTGTGCAATGTCCATTTCGAACTTGTTCGATTGTCATCTTTACATATTAGAGAGAGCTCTCAAGGTCTACATTATCTGTTACTCTTCTGTGGTGATTACATTGTTTTTCATGTGGTTCTCATTTGAAATTTGGAAATCACGGGTGTTATCTTTCTATAAAATAATTTAATTTGTTAACTAAACTAAAAGATTATATCATTTGATTAGTGACTAAAACATAATTAGCATTTGTTTGTTTATCTCTGTTTATTATCTGTAAAATATAAAAAAAAAATTGATAATTACTAATATTTACACCAATAGTCTTTAAATTTTAATTAGTTTATTATTTTATTTTCAGATATATTATTAAAAACACAATTACGTAATTTTCATTAAATTTTCTTCTAATTTTGTTAACCCCCGTTCCCTTTTCCTCGTCTCCAACTCCCGACAGTTCTACCTCCGTTGAACTTTGAATCGTACCGTCTTAAGTTCGTAAAACCCTAGAATAAAGAAGTATCAGCGTGAACGAGCAGGTTATCTGTCTGATTGTCTCACAATCCGCAGATAGTGAGCGAGAGTACTGAGAACCAGGAAGCAATAAAAAAATGCAGATTCTCCTGCGAAAACTACTGCACACAATGTCTCGCAAACGAGTACTTTACTTTCCTCGTATAATTTTTGTCTTTTCTTCTGGGTTTGATGTGTCTTTGGTATGATTTAACATTTCCGCTTTCATTTATTTGTTTGTGGTCTTTGGGTTTAGTAGCGGCTGCGAATTTTTCGTTTAATATGTTTTATGTTCATAGTTGTCATGTTGATTGTGCGTACTGCTTACACTAACTCTATATATGGTTTCTTTAGGTTACTAATGTGTATAATTTTGGACTTACTTATTAATGGTTCGAATTTTGTGATTTCTGATGGTTACTTTTGACTTTTTTTGAGACAGTTGTGGTTAGACGGAATGTTTATAGGTACTACTTATTTCAAACATGGATATGATAAAGTTACGCTGTTGCTATATTCGGCTAGTATTTTTTTTTCTTTTTACCACTTTAAGCATTAAGCAATCAGTAACAGTAGAAGCACAGCTGCTATGTAGGACCGTTGATCTAAGGATGAAACTTTACTTTCATCCTTTTTATGGAAGGCATAGGTTGCTACTTTGGTGGCACTTTTTTTTTGGTTTAAGCTGCTACTAAGTGACTCTTTTTATTGGGTTTAGATTGAGTTTGATGTTTTCCAGGCAGTTGGCCGTCGCACATATTCTACCAGGAAGCTCGCCGATATTGGACAACCAACTCCAGCATCTCATCCTCAGGTGTTCTCTATTTTTATTTTTCTAAGTGTGTCTCTGGTGCATATATTTACTTCAAATATGAAATGAATCTGCATTTTTGTAATTTCTCCCCAATAATTCCTGTTGAACTACTACACTCTTTGTAGAAAAGTGGCTCTATATTTTAAGCATAAAACTTTTCTTTCTGATAAGTGAAAATAATAGACTTCTGCTGTTTGCTTGGCAGTTAATGAAGGAAGGAGAGATTACACCTGGAATAACTGCTGAGGAATACATTGGCAGAAGAGAAAGATTACTAGAACTCCTTCCTGAACGTAGTTTGGCCATTATTGCTTCAGCCCCTGTAAAGATGATGACAGATGTTGTGCCTTATACTTTTCGACAAGATGCTGATTACTTGTACATTACTGGCTGCCAACAACCAGGTGGTTTGGCGGTTTTGGGTCATGAATGTGGTTTATGCATGTTCATGCCAGAAGCAACACCTCATGTATGAGTTGTATGACCAGAACTTTCATTTTTTAAGAAATGACTTCACATTGTTGTTACTGTTGTGGTGGAACTGAATCATATCTTTCTTCTCTCTTGAAGTGATGCCTAGATAGACCCAGTATAGAAAGGGAACAGTAGTGGCCATGCATACGTAAAAATTTTGCTACTATAAATACACAGGATCTGCATTTCACTACTATAAGTAACACAGATTATTTTTAGCATGGCTCATATACACAATACTCAAGGATCGCAATTGTTCGTAATTCCTGCAATTATTATTTGTAGGATATTTTGTGGCAAGGGCAAATTGCTGGCATTGATGCAGCAAAGGAGGTTTTCAGAGCAGAGCAGGCATATCCAATGAGCAAATTATATGATGTAAGTTAAATGCTTGTCAATATATTCAATGTTGGAAAAGTTTTGCATTCAATATCCAATCATGATGCAGCATCTCTTTGATATCTGAACTACAATGTGTATCATGGATAGCTCAGTAACAAACCGGCAATCACTAACCTTATGGTTATTTGGTGTGAGATGTAGCGTACTGTTTGTATCTTAAAAAAAGTGGTTTACTGCTTGGCCTTTTTCTTAATAGGTATATTCTGCAAAGTTCTTTGCATTTCCTAACTAAGTGCCTCCAAGAACCTTCTACCACCACTTGATACCATTGATGTCAAGCATTGTGAACCTGTCACCAATAAAATACCACATGGGGCTGATTCTTGAAAATTACAAAATGTTAGGAGTATTTATTGAGGTTTAACTGACAATTGTTTTGACATATAAGTGTAAAACACATGGAAGTTTTCACATAGTCAAGGTACCTTGTGAAACATAAACACACCATCCACCTTTGACTCTCGTACTAGGAATTATTTATGTTTCCCCCATTTTTTTATATGATTTGCTGCAGATCCTTCCAGATATGATTAGAAGATCCGCCAAATTGTTCCACAATGTGCAGACAGCTACACCAACTTATATGGATTTAGAGGCCTTTCAAAAGGCAGCTTACGTTGACAAAGTGAAAGCCCTTTCTAGTTTAACCCATGAGCTGCGGTGGGTAAAATCCCCAGCAGAAATTAATTTAATGAAAGAATCTGCATCAATTGCTTGCCAGGTACTTCAGAGTTTACCTTGAAGCTAATTATACTCCTTTGAAGTTATATATATTTGTATATAAATCTTAGCCAATAAAATTTTTCACGATTAATGGTGCAAATCAGAATACAAATTTTAGCCGTTTTAATAATTCTTGAAATGGTTACCTTCATCCCCCTAATTGTTTCCTCTTGAAGAAAGGTAAGATTTATAGCATTTCAATGCAAAACTAATTCAATGATTTTGCATATGCTATATTCCTTTACCATTAAAACTAGGTTTTCTTTTTTGTATCTGACTATACTGCCTGAGCTAAGTTCCTGTTTTATACTTGAGCATTGAAATTCGGAAATTTGTCTTTTCCAATATTGTATGTAATAATGGATAAACCAAAATTTGCTTTTTATGTAATAATGGATTATTTTAATGGAGGCAAAATTGCAAGGATTAAATTTAGTTAATCTTATTTCTTTAGTTGGGCCAAAGTAAACCTTTAGGAACCTTGTCATCCCATAATTAACAATGGTAAGACTCGTAGCCCATATTTTTGGACCAGCAGTATTGCACGGGCATTTCCAGGTGATGTGCAAAGAGTTTGGGGGGCTATTCTTTTGTATCTTTTATAAACTCTTTAGGAGTTCGCTGTATACTGTTTCTCAGTAAGATTTTGATTTTTGTTGAAACAAAGTCACCCATCGGCTGTCAAATCTGAAATTGGGAGAGTCGTCCAGCCTCATTCTGGTCCTGTGTCTATGTCACGAGCCTTCTCCATGGCTCCAATCTAGGAAAACACTGAGGAAGAGGAGAAAAGTCGAACGAGAGAGAGACAGTAAACACTTAGAGATAATCCTTTTCAATGCTTTATTCAATTTGCAGACATGCCTATTTATAGGCTAATGGCAGAAAGGGCTTGGGGGTTGCAACAGCCCGGTAACTAAATTGGGCTGTTGCAACTAGATTGGTTAAGGGTCCCGATCACTCTTCTATTTTACCATTTCCAAAACCCTAATCCTAGTTGCAGCTGTTAGAATGAAAAAGACCAAACTACCCTTATACAATTTGTCTCTTTTGCCCTTGTATAATTCTTTTTCCTATTTACCCTTGGTTTCTTATAGTTTGCTTGGGATATGTACTTCGTACATAGATGAGAAAGCGCACTGCATAATACTTTTTTTAAAAAAAAGAATTTTTTTTTTGAAATAAAAAGTACAATGTATCATTAAAACATAGCACCAAGTTGGTTCGACTGAAATATTAACACATGTTAATACTAACATACGTTTTTGTCGTTGGCTAGGCTCTTCTGCAGACAATGTTCCATTCAAAGAAATATCCTAATGAAGGGATGCTATCAGCAAAGGTTGAATATGAATGCAAAATGAGAGGTGCCCAGAGAATGGCGTAAGCATCTATCTTTCTAAATGTATGAGTTAAGCCTCTTTCTGCAGTTGATTTTGTGGTAAAGCTTCAAAGTAGCTTGCTAAGTGATGAAACTATTTGGATAGTTCATTGCAAATATATGCCTTCTAAGTTTATGCTAGTGATTAACAAATACGTTTCCCATCATCAGATTTAATCCTGTGGTTGGTGGTGGGCCAAATGGCAGCGTTATACATTATTTCCGAAATGATCAAAAGGTAGGATCATTTATACATCTTTCATCATCATCAACAGCCTATAAATGACACGTGACCTATGTAACATACAGATAACATATCCTTTACTAATTCCTACTAAGTTAATTTATTTGTAGATTAATGATGGTGATCTTGTTTTGATGGATGTTGGATGTGAGTTGCATGGTTATGTTAGTGATCTTACTCGTACATGGCCACCCTGTGGTAGCTTTTCTTCTGAACAGGTATGCTTTCTTTCCTGTGTTAGCCTGATCTCGACATTATCTTGAGGAGTACTACAATTGCTTTTATTGAAATACTCTACATTCTTAACCTAAGGAAACACAGATTGAAAAGAAGTTTTGCCACTGACTTACAGTGCCACATAGTAGTGCTTCTTTCAATGGCCTGCATTGAAGCTGTTCTGTTGTGTTGAGGGAGGAAGTCAGTGGCACATAGTAGTGCTTCTTTAGGTATCCTGTCTTGAAGCTGTCCTATTGTGTTGAGGGAGTTTGCCTGACATTTTTCTTATCTTTATGTCTGTTTAATTGAACTTAGTTACAGTATAAACGGGTATTCTACTTGATAAATTTGCAAACACAAAGATGATTGTTCATTATCTATGAGACATAAACTACCTCAATATTCTTCATACACTTTGTCATATTTTAGCTTGATGTTTCCCAAAAAGTTTCCCTGACCTTTATTTTCTGCTTTCTTTTTTTTTCTCTTTAAATCACTGTTCATGGTTAATGGCCTATATATTTTAAAGTTAACAAATTAAAAATAAAAATTACTCTCAACACATTGAAGGGGTCTGTCTGATTTATGAGGCTTATATGTGGAATAACCTTTTTCAGGAAGAGCTTTATGATCTCATACTCAAAACAAATAAAGAATGTATGACGCTCTGCAAGCCTGGTACTAGCATCCATCAAATGCACAACTATTCGGTATGATTCCAAAATTTAAAAAATGTGATTTCCTGGCTTCCTTTGCACCAACTATTATTTGTAAATAGAATGTCAGATTGCAGCAATCTGGTCCTGTTTTGTATTCTGAAGTGTTTCCTCTCAATAATGGCCAGTTTGAGAAATTGTTACATTGGAATATGTGTTTTTCTTTTAATAGGAAATCATATTGTAGAGTGTCGTTACAAAATAATTGTGAATTATTTCATTTCGAATATTAATCATGAATGTCATTTATGCTCTAAAATCTCATTAGTCTTGCCAAAGATGCTTGTGAGTAAACACGCAGACATAATGTTTCTTGAGAGGAGAATTTAATTATATGCTTCAAAGTGGTATGAATGAAACAAAATATAAGGCATTTGCAAGTTTCTGAAAGGCAAAATATTAAGAAGGTCAACAATATCAGTGCTGTCTTGGATGGGGAGACCTTTCCGCAAAATCCCTCATGGGAATAGAACAAGAGGAGAAATTATCGAAAAATTCTCCTATTGCTCTCAATAACCCAAAAAATGGACAGAGTGATAAAGAAGTAATCTTCTAAATATATTAATATTTATATCATCAAAAATAGGAGGAGAAAAGGAGAGTTTACTGGGGTGTTAAGGAAGTTGTTTATGATGTTTTTTTTTTCCAAAATAAAAACTGGTAGTTGTTTATGATGTAAAGGTTAGTTGCTTATCAGAAAAGTTTGTTCATCTCTATCTTCTATAGGGACATATTTTAATTTTTTAAGAGAGAATCGGGATATTATTTTTATCCTTATCGTCCAAGAGACTCATTTCTATTTCTATGACAATTTTAGATTATTAATATTTTGTGATCATTATTGTAGGCCTGTATCATTTCTGTATTTCTTTGTTATTTAATCTTTCTTGTCTCATATTTCTCTATTCACTCCCAGAATTCTGTTCCAACTGTCCAAATATGAATTTTAGAAGGTGCATGCTTAGAGCAGTAGAGTGCTTTGAGTTTCTTAAATACGATAGATTTTCATTTAAAAAATAAGCAGTTCTACTTTTGAGTAAAGTACTAATTAAAGAAAATAAACAGATGTCTTCAATAAGATAGATTTTCATTTAAAAAATAAGCAGTTCTACTTTTGAGTAAAGTACTAATTAAAGAAAATAAGCAGATGTCTTCAATAAGAAAGTTAACAAATAGTCAATTTTCATCAATATTCTGTATGCGTTATTATATATGTTTACAATTTACATTTGAAGAGGGTAATCAAGCAAATTGGTTAGATAAAAAAATAAAAACTTAAAAAGTCAAGATTCTTATTTTTTACCTGCTTAAGAACTTCATAAGCTCCTCAATTTTTTATTATCAAACGAGTGAAGTAGCTGGGTGCTTAAAGCTTTTCATAAGCAGAACATAAAGAATCCCAAATGCTCTTTAAGTCATTGATCACTCTTCTGTCCTTAAGCCATTCATCTATTTTTCCATGAGCTTTGATGGGTAAGGTCAATGATAAGGGTTGAATCCCTTTTAACTAAATAACCAACTAGCTAGGGTCACCATAGAAAGAAAAAAAAGTCTTGCATGGTCATTTGTAATGTCACTATTACCTGCATCAGCATTTGAAGACCACGTTTATCCAATTTTAAGTTTCATTTCATTGTTTGCTGCTACCAAAATATTTAAGTGCTGTAGTTTGGTTATTAGTGATCAACCTATATTTCCTGTAGTTTTTTTCTTTCTGGAATACTTTTGGATTTTGAGAAATAGTGATTGGATTTTTGGACAATAGTAACAGAAGTGTGTTTTAATTAAAAAAAGCTTGTGTGCATGCTCAATTCCCTTTTGTTCAAGAAGAAAACCATAAGATGTTATTTAACTTAAGCGTGTGTTTTCATAGGTTGAGTTGTTGTCCAAAGGATTCAAGGAGCTTGGCATTTTGAAAAATGATAAATTCTACCACCAGCTGAATCCAACTTCTATAGGTTTGTCTAAGCTTCCCTTTTGCATACAATAGAATGAACATTTTCCTAATAAACAGCACTGGAAACACAACCTTGGTATAAGAAGCCCTAACTCTAAAGTATTTCTAGCATTTACTAGAATTAACTGGGCTAACAGTAGTATATAATATATAGGACCAAATTCATTTTGTGTTTGTTTCTCTAATTTTTGTGATGTGCAGGTCATTATTTAGGAATGGATGTCCATGACAGTTCAATGATTAGCTGTGACCGCCCTTTGAAGCCAGGTGTTGTAAGTCATCTCCCTGATTCTGTTAAATGACTTTTGGTTCAATTACGAGATGAGAAGCTCTTCTTTCTTTCAAAATTTTACCTGAATGTTAACACAACCTTTATTCTCCTAACTACAGGTGATTACAATTGAGCCAGGAGTTTACATCCCATCTTCTTTTGATTGTCCAGAGAGGTACTCATTTTGTCTGCTTGATTAAAAAACCATTTTTCAGTCAAAACTTTTTTTTTTTTTGGAGGAAGTGTTGTTATAGAAACCTTAGAGAAGGAGCATTGCTATGTTTGGGTGTTCAAATGCTTATAAGCCACTTGTGAGTCCAATGCAGAATCCTTTTTGGTGATTAGCAGTCAACTTCTGTTTCCTATAGTTTGTTTCTATCTCAATGTTGATGCTCAAAGTAAGCAATTAATAGCTGGCGCAAGCCAGCCTGGTGGTCTTAAGGTGTTGTGTATCTTACACAATTGGTGATTGGCTTTGTAGAACATGATGAATATGCAGGCCAGTTTGTCTTGTTTATACTTGTGACATAAAGTAGTAAAAGATGTTGATTTGACTTTCTAATTTGCGATTGTTTCCTGTTCCATAAAATTTTGAAGCTCCAGTCTTGTTGCTATGGTCCTAAAGAAGATGTGAAGGCATAATATTTTTTTCATCTTTATTTCAAAAAATATATATATATTTTTTATCTTGTCATTACTCTTGTGGTAGCTACGAGTCATCTGATGAGAAAATGTGTAGCAGGTATCAAGGCATTGGGATAAGGATCGAAGATGAAGTTCTCATTACCGAAACAGGATATGAGGTACCAACTTCCACTACATTCTTATATGAATGAGCTTTCAGTTAGTCATCTGCGAACATTTTCTGTTAGATTGTTATGATTTCTACGGTAGTTCCTGCTCTATTATAATGCCTGATCATGCTCCCCCACCTCTCCAAAGTAATGTAGTTAACCAGAAATCCATGATCCCAACAGTATTCAATAGAAACAATTGCAGTAACCGGCCGACCTCACCTTTTATCTGTTTACCATTTTGGTTGTGGAAACAGGTGCTCACTGGGTCAATGCCCAAAGAAGTTAAACACATTGAATCCTTGCTAAATGAATACAGCCTAGGCATTGGAATGGAGAACCATAAAAGTGTCAGAGCGGCAACCAGCTGACAATACCTTCCGCACGAAATGGAGACAGATTGAATTGTTTGCGGAGAAGTGACACTCCCAAGGTATTTTATTTCCGACAAGATCAGTCTATTTACTAATCCCAAAAAAGATGGAGATCTCGCCCATTTTATTTCCTCACGCGGGGGTGGGGGGGGGCTCTCTAGCTATTTAATTGCATACGAGATATTTACTATGTAGTACGAATTTTGTGTTAGGAAAAATCTGTCCATTCTACCATTTGGCTACCTCGTTATTTTTTACCTTCGATTTGCCGATAGACATTGATGATAAGTAGGTAAGATTATTGGCACCTATCAATACTTCCCGCATTTAGTCTGTATGGGTGTGGGTGTATATTTATTATATGAGAAACTTGTATCCATGGCCCTGTCATTTAAAATTTGACAAGGGAGTGGTAGTTTAGGGCGGATGAAGAGCGGAGAGAATCCCTGGGTCGATCAAAACAGTGATGAGTTGTAAGGGTCTGTTTTGTGAATTTGTAATTTAAATTTGTTAGGCTGGGAGTTTGGTATTTTTGATAAATGGTTCGGTTGGGGACCAAACTGGTAAGGAATTGATTTATGAGATGACCAAAACGGTTGCGTTTTAGGTAGGCGTTGAGCACTTATACTTATGATTTCTTAATATATATATTTTTTATTATAATTTATTACGATTAATTTCTTTTTCAATATCTAAAAAGTCTCCCAACACGTGGCGGAGTACGATTGGTACCTCCCTCCAACCCCACCGCCTGTCCCCCTTTTTAATTCCGCCACGAACTCCCAACGCCATCATAAATGCATACCTCAAAACACATCATTTCAATTTACTGTAATCAATTTTAAATCAAAACCCACCTTCAAATTCTTTTTGGTTTTCATCGGTTTACACGTTTTTATGTTTTAGTTTCCAATAATTACTCCATTACTCTGTATTCAATTTTGTGCCTCCGAAAACAATCACACGACATAATTGCCAGCCGACCTAATTAACCCCAGTTTTTTAGGAGAAAAAACTTGCATCATTTACCAAATATGTAATTCGTTTAACAGTGAAAAGTTTTAAAATTTTAACGTACACGAAAATTTAAAAAAAAAAAATGATAAATTTTTTCAAGTCCTGTAATTATTACTTTCAGGGATCTAGTAGTTTCCATTATTAATGTGATATTAGGTTTAACTATAATTAATTAGTAGTGTTAATGTGTTGCGTTCTTAGATTAAATTGATTTTCGTCACGCATTTATAAGACGATGGCATTTTCGTTATATCTTGAGGATTCAAGGGCAAGTTCAGAAATCGACAACGATATAAGCACGCAGAATCTACTTTCCCATTTCCATCCCCCATACAGAGAGAGAGAGAGAGAGAGAGAGAGAGAGAGGGAGTTGGAAAAACCCCAGGAAGGAAGAAAGAGAAAGAGCAAGAGCAAAGGCCAGGGGGAGGAGTAAGGAAACGGAAAAAAAGAGGAGGAAGAAGAAGAAGAAGAAGCAAAATGTCTGTGGTGACAGAGGAGATAAAGGCAAAAGCAGAGTACTACCAGGGAGATGAGATCTGCCAAGAAAAATCAAAGCTCTTGCTGAAAGAAATGAGCTTGCCCAACGGGCTGCTGCCATTAAAGGACATTTTGGAATGTGGGTACGTGAAGGAGACAGGTTTTGTTTGGCTGAAGCAGAAAAACAGCACAACCCACAAGTTTGAAAAAATTGGGAAGCTGGTTTCTTACGCAACGGAGGTGACAGCGGTGGTCTCGCCGGGAAAGATCAAGAAGCTCACCGGGGTGAAGACGAAGGAGCTTCTCGTGTGGGTTTCTCTGAGTGATATCTACACCGATGATCCACCGACCGGTAAGATCACTTTCAGGACTCCCGCTGGTCTGTTCAGGTCCTTCCCTGTCTCTGCTTTTGAGGTCGAAGAGGAGAAACCCAAGGATGCCAAGGCTGGAGTCGAGGACGTTAATGGAGGAGCCGTGCAAGTCAAGGAGGTTTGATTTATTAACCACTTGCTCTTGCATGTGGATGGATTGAAAGAAAAAGGAAGAGTTCGTCTGTTTTTATCTACTGTTTTTTTTTTTTTTTTTCCTTCTTTTTCTGTTTTTTCTTTTTGATGTACCGTACTCTCTGCTCAAGTGTTACTCGTAACAAAATTAAATAAGAATTCCAGTAGTTCTCTTCTTCCTTTTAATTTAATCCTATCATATTCTTAGCTAGCTGCAAATCTGAGGAAGATGATAAAAGGTTGTTTGATGGTTGCAATTTGTCAAAGAAACATTATGTTATGTTATATAGGTAGATAGATATACCCTTCCATCCAATTTACAGTATTTGGAACAGGAAATTTGAGCAGAAGCAATCTAGGAGGATTGTGCTGGAGTAGCAATGGGGAGCAGTAAAAATGTGAGGGAGCTGAGTCTCGGTTTCCTGACACTATTTGACCAACAGAATTGAGTTTGGAGTACTTGTTAATAAAAATATTATAACTACGCTAAGACTAAATATAGAGGTTTTGTGCTAAAACATTATACAAATGTTTGTATTTTTATGGGTTTCCAAACAAAAATATCATAAATTATAGATTGGGTCGGTGTGAACTGCTGTGTAAACATATCCTTGGCAATGCTCAAGAAATGTGCCATTATCGAGCATAACATGCAAGTGTTTAAGTTGGTAATAAGGACAATCAAGTGCAAAGAGTGTGTGTATTATCATACCACACAGTCCAAGCGTGGAGCAAATATGGAAATGCATAAAAACCAAAAAGAATCCATTCCAGGAGGGGCAACCAAACACAACCAAGATCCTGCAAACCACAAAGTAGCAGTTTCTACTATCTAACGGCAGAATGCTAGGATTTATATCAGAAGCATTCATCTATCTGGCTTCAAAAGGGTTAAAATCCTAAAAAAAAATTTACATCAATGTTAAGTTTGGTTTATTTAGACAATCATTACATATGCAACTAGTCATACTGCGAGGAGGATGATATTAAGGTTTCGGAGGACATACACAAGGACATGGACGAGAAACTAAATGCTACAGCTTTGTAATATCCGCAAATTTGAACTGCTTTGCCTCTTTCTCCCTGCCAATCACAACCTTAGAGCCTGAAAATAATTCGCAACAGCCAGTCATCAGAATACTTCGACTACAGGTATAATTTAAAAAGTACCAGTGGAAAGTCGACAAATTAATGACTTGAATTTAACTCTTGCTTTTTTTTTTTTTAACTTTTTTTTTCCTTATGAAAGTAAGCATTAAAGCCAGCAACTGGAATAGGAAGAAAACTGTCTGGAGTAAGCCACGGCAAGAAACTTCCTTCCAAGTCGCACATCATTTCCAAGCACATAGTGACATGCTAATGACTCCTATTCCTTCATGAAACAATACCATCTTTACAGGTAAAGGACATAGACAGTTGAGTAAAACAATCTCAATTGGGTTGGCGACCGAATAGATGCAAACCCAAACTGGTCCAGATGATTCAGTTTTGTAGAATTAATAAGAGTTACAGATTCACTTGATGTTTCAATAGGTCAGAGAATCTGTAGAATATGATGTCTAAATTTCAACTGAAAATGTTATACTGCTTGCTTATAAAAAAGGATCTACTTAAATTTGAGCATAATATTTTAATCTTTCAGACACTACTATTACTATTTTGGTAGAACGCATACCCGTGAAGGAATCACCCATTTGCCATCAATCCAGTCTTTGTGCAGTCTTAACTGAGAATGCTCAAACTCCAATTCCTCATCCGTGTCCTTGAAATACACTATATACCTTGAGTTTACAAGGACCTTGGAAATCACACCAACCCACCATCCATCATTGTACAATGCATCAACTTCATCAAACTTATTATAACGATCAACCATCACTGTCTCTGGGGGCCGAGGCCTTATGTGCAGGGTATCAATCTCTTCTCTCAAAAAGTCCAAGTCATCTTCTGTCCTCAAGTTCTGGTACTCAATCAGGTACTTGTCTTCCCCTCTTGGTTCGATAATAGTTGCTCCAAACCAGGCACCTTGAAAACCATCTTCATCACTACTAACCTCAATGGGGGTCCCCTTGCTAAACTTTTCCAGTGTTTTAGATTTTGGTTTTTCTTCAGCTGATACTTTCTGCAACTTATGATTCAAAACAGAAAGTGAACTGCGGCACTGAGTAACGATAAAGTACAATGGGAAAAAGAAAATGAAAAAAGGAGAACAATGAAAGAAAAACAGCATGATGTTCAAAGTAAATGTATAGCCATCTTTTCTATCACTACACCTAATCATCAGTCTTGCAGCTAAGTGATATGAAAACATTTATGCCACCAAGCACCACTACATCCAACACAAGGGGAGAAAGGTTGACATTTAGATAATAAGAGAAAAGGTAAAATTTGTTAAGCCAGATGAATCCATCATCGCTGAAGCATAAAAATATATCTATACACTTATCAGAAAGTGCATGTCAATTTATGATCCAGTTCAATACAAAAAAAAAAACTAGTACAAAGACAGCATTCAAGAGAACTGCTAAGCGCATCCATCTAAAATTCAGGTTAATATAACAAATATATAGAAAGATTTTCAATTAAGTTTTCAATCGGGTTAATATAACAAATATATAGAAAGATTTTCAATTAAGTTTTCGACAAAAGGCAGCATGCAGAAACATAGTTTGTCTCCTTACAATTCTCAATATAGTTTCGTAACATTTAAAGACAACAACTCAGTAAAGAGATGCAAGGGAAGTGAAAAGATTACTCAGAGCAACCTATAGAAGTAGCAACAATGGTGGGTAATTAGTTTAACATAATAAATCAGAACGAGTTCAAAAAAATATTTGTCTTCAACATATCTATGCATTTCCTCCAAAATCTTCTCATAAATTATAGCCTAAACACTACCAAAGTAAACAGAGTACAAAACGAAATATTTCATTGTCATATCTCAGGACAAGGAAAGCATTATTTTGAAAATGCCCTCATTTTCTGTATCAACATCATATACTATTCACACTCATTCTCAAATTTCCTTTCTATTTTCCTCCTCCGCCACGACAATCAACATGAAACCCCAAGAGGTAGAAAGAAAAGAAAAAGAAATTTCAGATACCAAGAGAACCAACTATACCAAAAGAACCACCATTACCTCTTCCTCCTTGGCCTTGGCGTCTTCCATCTCCTCCTCCTCCAACGGAGGCTTCCAACAACCGTTCACCCACTCCCTATGCAGCCTGAGGTCCTCTTTCCCAAATTCCAGTTGCTCCCTGGAACCCCTAAAGAAGACAGAGAAGCGCTCATTTCCCAACTCCTCAGTGATCACTCCCTCCCACCAGCCATCATTGTAGTATGCATCCACCTCTTCGCTAAACTTGAAGCATCTGTCTCCATCTCTGGGCGGCTCAGGCCTAAGTTGGAACTCGTCTACGATCTCCCTGAGGGGCTTCTTACCGGCCTCGTCGTCAAAGAGGTGGGTGTACTCGACCAAGAACTTAGCGGGTTCCTTGGCGGAGGCACGGCGGACGACAGTGCCGGCGTACCATGAGCCGCGGAAACCGGGATCATCGGAGCTGATCTCGACGATAGTGCCCGGCTTGAAGTAGGGATGCGATTTGGGCGGGGTTGCTTTGGGTTTCGGGGCCATTATCAGTGGTGATGAATTGGATATCCCGTGGTTAGAAAAAGGGCGGAGGAAGGCTCTTGGCGGGAGACGTCTGACAGCAACAGGAGGCGAAATGGAGAAAAAGGGTCTTGCCCTGGTCTCTGGACTGATCCCCTTCGATGACTGAAAACGAATTTCGGAGACGGAAAAATACTGGTAGAATTTATTTTTAAAAAATATATATATATACACACACAAAACAACTTATGCATTTTAAGAGATCTTTAATTAATTAATAATTCATAATTCTTTATAATAAATTAGAATGTCAGCGACCATTTTTTAGGTAATAATACAATATTTCCAATTTTTTATATTTAAAATACAATTCTTGTGGATTGAACAATAAATATTTGTGTGTGTGTGTGTGTGTATATATATATAAACAGAAACTTATTGAATATAGAACATGAATTGGCCCTATTTTTACCAAATTAATGAATTATTCATCTCCCTGATGAGGTTCTTGTATTAAAAACCAATACAGGATGAATCCCGCTTAAAACTGCAGGGAGTTTCTTACACTGTTTACCAGAAACCCTCTCTAATATATATAGATATATGATCCGACCACTTCTCAATCTCAAACCAACCATAAACCTCTCAATCTTGGAGACCCATTTGCGTCAATGCCAAAACCTCAGGCACTTCAACCAAATCCTCTCCCAGATGATCTTCACTGGCTTCCTCACAGACGCATATGCTGCGAGCAGGCTCCTCAAGTTCTCTACTGATTCACCCTTCATTCGCTTTGACCACTCCCTCCACATCTTTCACCACATTCACAATACAAATTCTTTCATGTGGAATACCATGATGAGGGCAAACGTCCAGAGGAACTCTCCTCAGGAAGCTATGTTTTTATACAGATTCATGTTGGTTAACGACGTGCTTCCTGATAATTACACTTACCCCATTCTAGTTCGAGGTTGTGCTTTGCGATTGATGGAAGTTGAAGGTAAGCAGATGCATAATCATGTTTTGAAACTGGGTTATGATTCGGATGTGTATGTGCAGAACACGTTGATTAACATGTATGCTGTTTGCGGGAATATGGAGGATGCGCGTAAGCTGTTTGATGAAAGTCCAGTCTTGGACTTGGTTTCGTGGAATTCAATCTTAGCTGGGTATATTCAGATGGAGGATTTTGACAAGGCAAAAGAAATTTATGACAGGATGCCTGAAAGGAACACAATTGCTTCGAACTCAATGATTGTGTTGTCTGGTTGGAGAGGTGATGTAAATGAGGCTTGTAGGTTATTCAATGAAATGAAGGAGAAGGATTTGGTATCATGGAGTGCTTTGATTTCTTGTTATGAGCAAAATAAGATGTATGAGGATGCGTTGGTTACATTTGTGAAGATGAATGCTAATGGATTTATGGCGGATGAGGTTGTGGTGATCAGTGTTCTTTCTGCATGTGCAGAATTTATGGAAGTAAGGTTAGGATCATTGATCCATGGTTTGGCAACAAAGATTGGGATCGAATCATATATTAACCTTCAAAATGCTTTAATTCACTTGTACTCCAATTGTGGGGAAATAGAAATTGCCCAAAAGCTGTTCAATACAGGCTATTGTTTGGATCAGATATCTTGGAATTCTATGATATCTGGATATTTAAGGTGTGGGTCAGTAGAAAAGGCAAGAGAATTATTTGATTCCATGCCCAAGAAGGATGTGATTTCGTGGAGTGCAATGATATCAGGCTATGCTCAACTAGACCGTTTCTCTGAGACATTAGCATTGTTTCACGAGATGCAGCTTGATGGAGTCAAGCCCGATGAGATCACTTTGGTAAGTGTGATCTCAGCTTGCACACATTTGGCTGCTCTTGAACAAGGAAAATGGATTCATACTTATATAAAGAAGAACAACCTGAAGATTAATGTCATCCTGGGTACAACTCTCATAGACATGTACATGAAATGTGGATGTGTTGAAAATGCAATGGAGATCTTTGAAGAGACGGAAGAAAAGGGGGTTTCTACATGGAATGCTGTAATTCTTGGCTTGGCAATGAATGGGTTGGTGGATAAGTCACTTGACATGTTCACTGTGATGAAGAAAACTGGAGTGATGCCTAATGAGATAACGTATATGGGAATTCTTGGGGCTTGTCGACATATGGGTTTAGTTGATGAGGGACGCCAACATTTTAATTCCATGATTCAAGAACACAAGATACAACCAAATGTTAAGCACTACGGATGCATGGTTGATCTTCTAGGACGTGCAGGCATGCTAAAAGAAGCAGAAGAACTCATTGAGAGTATGCCATTGGCACCAGATGTTGCTACTTGGGGTGCCTTGCTTGCAGCTTGTAAGAAGCATGGCAACCACAAACTGGGGGAGAGTATAGGAAAAAAACTAGTTGAGCTTCAGCCTGAGCATGATGGATTTCATGTTCTATTGTCCAATATATATGCTTCACAAGGTAATTGGGATAATGTCGTTGAGGTTAGGGGGATGATGACGCAACATGGAGTATTAAAGATCCCGGGTTGTAGCATGATTGAAGCAAATGGAACAGTTCATGAGTTCCTGGCAGGGGATAAGATGCATCCGCAGATAAATGAGATAGAGGATATGCTAGATGAAGTGGCCAGGAAACTGAAGATGGAAGGTTACACACCAGAGACAAATGAGGTTTCCCTTGACATTGATGAAGAAGAGAAGGAATCTTCTCTGATTAGACATAGTGAAAAGCTTGCGATTGCCTTTGGGCTTATCAATATTAGTCCACCCACACCAATAAGGATAATGAAAAATTTGCGAATATGCAATGACTGTCACACAGCGGCAAAGTTCATATCTAAAGCATTTAGCCGTGAAATTGTGGTGAGAGATCGACATCGCTTTCATCACTTTAGGCAAGGATCTTGTTCATGCAAGGATTATTGGTAGCAAATTGTAATATAAAGATGAATCACTTCCAAATGCTGCCTGCCTTCTTGTAGCAACTACATTAGAAAGCTGTTAATGAGGTAAAGGCCATTGAGGGCGGCTGGCTGGCCTTCTTGATTGTGAAGTACTGAGGAACCATTTCTTCATGCACTCACAAGAACGATATGATGGTGTATTACAACAAAGAGTTTTTTATTACAACATTATGAGTCCAACGGTACCAAAATGATCTGTTCTAAACGAATTGAGTATTTAAAATTAATTAAAATTATTAATAACATGATAAAAACTCAATTTTTAAAAAAGTTTAAATGGAACCAACACAAGACTTTTCAAAATTTACTAATAAATTATCTTTCATTATCTTAAAATTAAAATTAAAGTGAATTTGTTAAAATAACTTTTACAAATAAAGTTTTTTTTTTTTCCAAGTTCTAAACATGGCGTGAAGAGTGTTTGAACCTAATACAGAAATAACTTGTTTATAGAACCAAATCTGTCACCAAACCCATTATATCATATGCTTTCAGGAGCTCCATGAACAAAAAGCTCATACAGGGCGTATTGTCGTCCTAATGAGAAGGAAATCTACCTGCATCTATTGCAGCACTACAGGTTCATAGCCTAATCAACAACCACCGATTTACAAGGTCTCCAGATTCATGTACCGAACACCAAAGAGTTTGAGCATAATGCCATTCATGTACGTTCATATAGTGGACATAAACATCTCTTCAGGGAATCAGTCAATAATGTCTTCTGAGTTATGAACTTAACAGCCTCAATAGCTATTGAATTTTGTCCAGGGAACCTACAATCCAAGAACCTAGCAGTAAAAAAGAATTATTTTCATAAATTTCATGGAAGAAAAAAAGAGTATAAAATCTCGGTCCAACATTTCAGTAAACTTGCATTGCAGCAGTTTCACCTAAGCTTCTTTTTTACGCATTTGGACAAGTGAATTTGTAAGTGCGGAACCTCTAGAGATCATAACCAATCCTTCCCATGAACTCGTGATCTTACCCTGCAACCAAAGGCAAACTATATAAGCTTCGAACTGCATAAGAACAGTTAACCTGTAATTCAAAGGAGTACAGAAGAACAACGAAATATTTTCAGAAACATGCATAATTTTGCACAAGTTAAAAGTTGGTTGAGATGCTAAAATGAAATGACATTTTCCAGAAAACTGGAAGTCTACCCCGGTGTTACCTTCAAAATTCTACCAGTTATCAAGTAGTCAATTGTACATTATCTTCAAAGATGACATGAGAAACTGCAAATAATGATTTCTAATATAATCAGTCCACCATGCTACTGCTACACTTGACTGCCAGCCCATGAACGAAAATTGTCCTTGCATGGATGGGCCTTCATACTTGAGAAGCCTTTTTCCAACGAAGAAATTAGTTAGAAAGAGACCACCTATGAACATTTTAGATGCAATGTTTCCCATTAAAAGATTTCCATGTAAAGGTAATCCAAAGAATAGGATTTATCCAAAATCCTCCCGTCTGCTTCCTAGTTTGGAAGATTATTTTAGAGGAAGGTAGTTAATGCAAAGATATCTTACCAAATAAATGAATATAAATCCATTGAAGCACAAAACCATATATGTCAACTAATTTAAGACAAAAGGAATAACACATATAGCAGCAATGGATCTGTGAATGCGCACTTTAGCAATATACACACATCTATATTCTTTCTGCTTGTGATAATTTGGTATTTAGACCACATGTGCAGGTTCAAACCCGTGAAACTTAAGCCTGCAAGAGGATCCGATAAAATCAACAGGCCCAAACATTTAGTAATATGTTTATAGTTGATTGAAACAAAGCTTAAATGTGTATGAATGCTGAAGATAACTTGTTTCGCGCAATTTTCTTCCTCTAAAGTCAAGTTATTTGAAAAACGGTTTACCGGTGTAACAGGAAAACTTTCTCCTTCTATTTCTCATCATCTTCTTTCGACTCCATTATTCAAGTAATTGGATAAATGGAGTCGATTGGGAAAATGCTATACATTTATTCAAGTAATTGGAGTTGCACAAATAAGGCAGGTTTTCTTAGTAGTAAAGACACTATAAATACAGTTGCAAGCCTTAGAACCAAACACTGCCTCCATTACCATCACCACCACCAATCACCATCAACATGGAACGCTGGTGGGAATCCATCGATGAAGCCCGTTCTCGCATTCTCTCCCTCTCCTCTATTCTCCCTTCATCACCATCACCTTCAATCTCATTCTCTATATCCTCCTTAGCTGATTGTGACGATCCTGCCCATTCCCTCCTCAATTCTGCAGATGCCTACTTCTCCATTGCATCTGCTCTCAAGTCACCCTTGTCTGGCTCTTCTTCTGATCCTCTCTGCTGCTGGTTCTGCGATACCTTCCGCTCCCCTGTGCCTGATCTCCGACTCTTCTATATCTCCTTCCTCCCTCTCCTCTCTGACCTCTATTTAACTCGGTCTGTCACTGACTCTATTTCATCGTCCTCTCTTGCTGGCTTTGAGACTATCTTCCTTTCTCTGTACAATTCTCAAGCTCAATTCCAAAATGATGAAACTCATCCCATCTTGGTTCCTGATCTCTCAATTCCCTCAGTGTATAATACTCTCCTTGATAAACCAAACCACAAAAAAGGCCCTTATCCAGCCCTGATCCCCGCAGAGCAGCATTCCAAGAAGAATGTTTGTTCCAGTACATCCAAACAATCAAGAGAATCCTCACAGACAACACCAGAACCATTTGAACCAAAATCTGTGATGAAATCCACTGAACGTGACCGTGTAGTTGGGTTTGCTCTTGATTACTATTACAAAGAGATTGCAAAAATTCCAGCATGGTCCAAGATAGAGTTTAGCAAAGTTGTGGTAGCCTGGGCTGGACCGTGTTGTTCTCATAAAACCAAGCGTAAAGGTGATACTGGTGAGATTGCAAATATTATAAAAGAGATGAGAAAGATGGGAATTGAAAAGGACAATGAAAGGTTGAAATTTCCCAAAGCTACAAAGATTTTGCTTCCTTGGGAGTTGTTGCAACCAGTGCTGAGAATTTTGGGCCACTGTTTGTTAGGTCCACTTTGTCCACAGGATGTCAAGGATGCAGCTTCAGTTGCAGTGAAGAAATTGTATGTGAGGGCCACTCATGATCTAACTCCAAGGGCAATAATGGCCACCCAGAATCTGTTTCGACTGGATAAGAGGGAACGTGAGAAGGCTGCACAGAATACGGTTAAGGAGAAGGCGGCTTTACAAGCTAAGAGTAGCAGCAAACTAAAGAAACCTGACATTCTTCTTCAAGGTACTGGATCTTTTATAGTGTTTCAAGTGCAGTAACTTTGGGGAGTGTCTAAATGAGATTTTGTTTAGTTTTCCTAGTATACAGACCTTTCTTTTTACATAGATCAATCGAATTACTAATATCCAATCCCAAAACTTAAACAAATGGAAGAGATCATATATAAACTTGACTGAAAAGAATTTTTTATTAAACTTTAGTACCTGAATTGTCAACCTCAAGCGGATTCAATGACTATGCATTTATGCTTGCTCATATGTTATAATCACTGGTCTATGAGTTACCTTTCCACACAAAAAGAATCCCCCTCCCGCCTGCAATCGCTAGTGAAATTCATATAGTCCCATACCTCTTCAAGTGCTCTATGTTGCTAGGGATTACAACCATCAGGATCAGGTTCAGCATTTGTTTTCTGCTATGTAAGTTTGAATTATAATATTCTTGTCCTATTACTGACTAAATGTCTATTACTAATGGTGGTTGAATAGACTTTTACGTAGTTAGGCAAAAAGACCTGAAAAGTAATATTAGCAAGCACTTTCAGTTGATGTTTGTAGATATACTGTTCATTTTCAAGCTATTGTTGGTCATTTAGACTCCTTATACTAGGACCATATGGGTCCTAACAAAGAATTACATTTGACTTCTTCTGAGGGTGCTGAGCGTTTTTGTTGGTTAGTCACTGGGTCGTCTACATATTAATTTCTTTATTTCTCTTTCAACTTCTTTTTTCAGGTAAAGAAATAATTTTCATAATATAAATAACAACTTTAGTCATAATTTTGGAGAATGAATGCCTAACTTAGAAAAGAACATAATCTGATGATCTTTTCTGCTAAGTGGCATGAAGCATCCACATCTACACTTGTCAGTACACACATGCTTTATTAGCTGTAATGCTAACTTGTTTTTCCCAATTATAAATATTCACTACAGATTAGCTAGTTAGAATCGTTATTTATAAGTAGACATACCAAAGAGATCCTTTGTAGTTATTCATATGCAATAAACGTTGTGAAGCAAGGCATAGGATTAAAA